CCCCCTTTATAAAACTTTTTTTTTTTTTTTTTTCCCCTTTTATATAGGGGCCCCCCCAAAAAAAAAAAAAAAAAAAAAAAAAAAAAAAAAAAAAAAAAAGGAAAAAGAAAAAAAATCAGAGGTTAAACATTCCGGAGGAAATGTCATAAAGTACTCCAGAACGAGGATAATTACTCAACGTTCCGCTCATCCAGCAGCTCCTAAATGTCGTATTTTACGTGCCCCGGGGCGCTGCGTTCAATATGCGGCGCGGCCATGTCAGTTAGCGAGCGCTCAAACCTAAACAAACAGATAAATTCATGATGTCAGGCGGATGGGTTTTTAGCGCTTGGCTTGGTTTTATCGCTCAGACTCCCTCGGCGGTGTGTGAAAGTCTCGGCTCTTCTCTGTCAAAATACCCTTTGGCGAATTTTCCCTCGACATGCTGGACGGCTCCTCTTGACAAGGCCAGGATAAACACGGGCTGAGGAGGGGAGTAGTAAAAAATGTTTAGATACACAGGCCGCCCTCAGGATTTAGTCTGCGAGATAGTGACATTTATCGGGGTCAGCTGAAGTAGATCGGACAATGTTTGATGTCTGAGAAGTTGGTTTAAAGTGACTCATCTCTTCAAGAAAGAAACGGAGGATAAACATGCCGTCTTTTTTCCCAGAAAATTTGCGCTGTTAAGCAACAGAACACTTGCTCTCCTGTTTAAGACGTGAATGACTTTGTTTGAAATCAGTACATATCCACTTGGTCCACTACCAGTTCAAACTGAAACAAAGTCCTACAACTGAAGCAAGTTGTTCGGACCAGTTAAGGGAGCAGCACTATGTCTTTTTCAGACACATAATGCCGTTCTATGGTACAATCAAGTGGCTATGTAGCCTTCAATTGTTATAAAAATGCTATATATATATATATATATATATATATATATATATACACACATCAAATATGACTTAAAAGAAATTCAACGTCATAAATTAATTAGACAATGACAAACAGAAATGAGTCAAGAGCTACAATACAGTGATTTCCATCAAACATAAGTTTGTACCAGGATGATTTAAGGATTTACCTTCTAATTTCACACTTTTGATCCAGTATTTCCTTTCAATT